ATTGCTTATAGACTCCAATAATAATATGTCAAAACATCCCAAACTTAAAGAGTAACTTAATATTAGCTTTTCTCATTTAAAGTTGCTAAAAATCATAAACTTTTCACCTTTCTTTGAAGTATAAGATTTCATCATAAATCTTGAACATTTATTGTGTCATCCCAATTAAAAGAGCTGATGCAAAAACACCTGTTCATTAAACCTCAAACAGACTTAGTTTAGGCTTACCAAGTGGCGGCGGGGGATCCGCATGTCTTTACAGGATCCCTGCCGTGGGGACGGCGATACGCATTGCACCAGCCGTCGCCAGGATGTGACGCTACGCGTCGCTCTGGCAATGGGACTCCAAACAGCCCCGTAGCGTCACATCCTGGCAACGGCGGTGCAATGCGTATCGCCGTCCCCACGGCAGGGATCCTGTAAAGACATGCGGATCCCCCGCCGCCACTTGGTAAGCCTAAACTAAGTCTGTTTGAGGTTTAATGAACAGGTGTTTTTGCATCAGCTCTTTTAATTGGGATGACACAATAAATGTTCAAGATTTATGATGAAATCTTATACTTCAAAGAAAGGTGAAAAGTTTATGATTTTTAGCAACTTTAAATGAGAAAAGCTAATATTAAGTTACTCTTTAAGTTTGGGATGTTTTGACATATCAATCTCTTAACTGACAATTAATGCTTTCTGTTATTCCAATTAAAAATGCAAACAAAATCTTTTCATCTTTATAATAATGCTAAGAAGGCAAACATATATAAAGATATTGCTTATAGACTCCAATAATAATATGTCAAAACATCCCAAACTTAAAGAGTAACTTAATATTAGCTTTTCTCATTTAAAGTTGCTAAAAATCATAAACTTTTCACCTTTCTTTGAAGTATAAGATTTCATCATAAATCTTGAACATTTATTGTGTCATCCCAACACTGATAAAACTGGCAGGGGTGAAGTCAGAAAAACAAAGAGAAACATTTGCAAGGAGGATTTCTGAATCTATCTGTGCTAAAAAGGAATCTCTTCACCAGTAACTGACATCACTGCTCTTCTCACTGTGCATGCATGGAGAGGCAGGAGACATAGTACCCTTGGGCTCTACAAACAGGGACTAGCATGAGACCTTGTTCGTAGAGCTGTTCTGCCAGGCTTTTAGTTGAGGCGGTGGACACCCAAATAGTTGGCCTCCCTGCATACAGGCTGTCCTAATCATCTGTTCCATGTGGAGTTCTGGTATATGAATTTGGACTGATTCCAGTTACCATCAGTCCGGCTTATGGGGGATTTGAATTGCTATGTTTATTTCACCATCTTTTGTTTAATGGTTTTAGCTATTTCTAAGAATTAACTATATTAATTTGGTTTTGATTGCACATGTACCCTGATGTTGCCCGCCCCGTGCCCGTTTTGGGAAGAGCAGGATATAAATTTAACTAATAGATAAAAAGCAGCAAAAAATTGCTTAGCAGCAACCTGGAGCCATGCAGGGTCTTGCACTGCCCATTTTAAGATTACAGCAGTTATATTCTACTCAGGATGGGAACTGATTTGCTCAGTAGGGGGAACTTACGATTCGCTCTTCACACTATGAACCTTGTTGTCAAGAGAAATTGTTGAAATCAGGTTCCAACTACAAAGCCGGCAAACTGAAGAAGTTGCTGGAAACGTCTCCTTTAAGTATCTGGGGCGTTTTTGCTAAGGCTGTTCTTGAAAATGTTTTGAAAACATTTATGCCTTGTTTGTATTTGTATGCACATTTTGATGTTGTGGCACCACCAACTTTATAATTGTTAAATAGAGTATATATATATTGGCATTTTTGATGGCGTTTTTCTTAGCGGTTTTTGCTTTTTTTGGATCATTTTAAGATTACAGCAGTTCTACTCAGGATGTGAACTGATTTGCTCAGTATGGGGGGGGGAATTAGAGGGAACATTGAACACCACTAACCCTACCTATGCTCTGGGACCTATGCTCTTAAGTTCTTCAACATTAAAGCATGGAGGTAAGTATTCTAGACTGCATTTAACATTATGCCTCTACAGGAACTGAGTGCATCCTTCACTAGGAAATCTGTGAACTGTGTGTTGAATATTGACTCTCTAGTTACATACACACGCAAACACCATTTAATACAGCATGACTTCACAATCTTCTTTATTATACATGTTAATACAACAAAAGGTTTTGAAGGCCCACTTCTCAGGCAATATTACAGGTATTATACCTGTGTGGCAACAGCCCTGTACACCAATGACTGCATTCCAGCTCTAGTTTTGTTTCATTCAACTAGTAATTTTGGATGGACATGAGCTGCCCCACCTGCATCCAGCAAGTTCAGTGGGGACCATTACACCTCCACTGGATTGAATTGCATGTATATGCTGCATTTATGTGTGTGTATACAAGGGAAAGTTATCATTTTTCAATGTGTTCACTGTGTGTAAATATAAGGAAATCAATACAACACATTTGCCATCATGTATGGTGGTTTTCCTACACAGATGAATTATTTGTCAGTATTTGCGGAGCTGGACTGTGCATTCCAGTTATTCTAAAACCATTGATTTTAAAGAGTATAGCCTGGAGTAATTCTTCATAGGAGTCCTGTATCAAAGTCGCCGGCAGCAAGATATTTAACATCCGATCTGCATATTCAGTTGGACTGAATATCACATCTCACATTTCCTGTTAGACGTTACAAGAGAGAAAAATACACGAACAGAAAATGCTTCCTCCTCCATCCAGCCACTGGACACCCCGCCCCCAAAACCTGCAGGTGTCCCTAACCTGAAAGCAGCGCTCCGCCACTATGTGCCACTCGCGAGAGGGGGGGCGCTGCTGTGGGCGGCGCTGTTGACTGCAAAGCCCCACTGAACTTCCTCCCACGTAAGAGCCCTCAGAACTGCGGGCTTTTCAGCCAGGAAGCGCGGAGCGCCCACGAGGTCGGGGAAGCCTTCGACTGAGCGCAGCGCGGCCCTTCCTCTGCAGGGCAGCTAAAAAGGAGCGGCCCAACAGCGGCCACGTCCACGAGGCCAGGAGCGCTTTATGGGCCTTTCTAAGCAGATGCTTACGACCCTCGACCCTCGTTTGCTCCACAGGTCTGCCCCGCTGAAAGAAACGATTTCTGAAGCCTTCCCTTCGCGACGCCACTAAGCGACACGCGGGCTTATTAGCAGTTCGGATCCGATACGGTGGGGCCGGGGGGAAGGGGGCGAGGCACGTGATCGGGTGTAGGCCCGCATCTCGCGGGAGCGCGCGTGGTCTGTGTCCAGCGGGCTTTGTCCGCCTAGGGGGTCCTCCTGTGGTGGCGTGGCGGGGATTGCTGTGAGGAAGCCCGAAAACTTGATTCTCCACTCTCGCGGCCGCCCCCTGCCCAGCTTCGCGTGACGCCCGCAAGCTAAACAAAAATATTGCTCGGGCAGGGACAAGATCGCGCGCCAGTTCCCCCCAGGTGAGCCAACGTGGAGGAAGAGCTCGTGCCGCTTCCCACGTGTCTCTCCGAGCCCCTCCTTACGAAGGGATTGTGGGCGTCGCGGGGGGAGGGGGATGATATTCCCTGGGGGGAGGGGCGAAGCCTCAGATTGGCTGTATGGGGGGGGGGGGAGAGTGTCGGCGGCCGAGTGTTGTATGCCGTGTGTTGTGAGTGACCTTATATGTCGTCGGTAGTTGGAACGTAAAGTTTAAAAAAATGAATCAGATTGAACTGGGTGTCATAGCAGCCTTGGGCACTTTTGAATAGTCCTAGTCGTGGCTAATTCTATATAAAGTAAACCACCTTTTATGGTTCCTCTCGAGCCATAAGGCATTTAAAAGTTGTAAACAGCCATATTAGTCCAAAAGGCAACAAAATTTGTGTGACACTTTTTATGAGGCTCAACCAGCGTAATTTAATTAAGTTAATTGAAAACAATTACTCAAATACCGGTTGTTTTTTGTTGGACGTTAAAGTGCACTTATGCTTGGGTTTGTTTTTTAGTGTTTTAAATGCGCCTTCCTGCTTTTCTGCATCTTTTTAAATATATACTTAGCTAAGCCCAAACCAGTATATTTGACTATGGTTTACAATTTCACAACAGGTTTTGTGAGAAGTGTATTTGTTTGTTTAAAATGTTTATATCCTGCCTCATCCAAGGACATCTCTTGGAGTCAAGTGTTCTTGAACTCTAGATGCCTAATAAATCAGGAGAAGCTGCAAGGACACAAAAGCATCATAAGCCTCCAGCAACAAAATAAGCATTCTGTTAAAAATGTGGCCAATTCTGCCAAAACAGTTTACCCTCCATTCAAATGCCCTCTTGTATAAAACCATCTTACCAACCATAAGGAATACTATTATCCCTAATTATTTTTCTGTAATATGAACTACCTCATCCTGCTACTACACTGTTGGAATGCTAAAAGCCAGTTTTGTGATTAGCCAGCACATTTATTCTGTTTTATGGAAGTTTAACTCACCAAGGATTGCTTGTTAGTCACTTAAATTTCAATAGGCTAGGATTGAATTGATAAAATTATTGGATGTGCATGCTTGAGTTGTAGATATTCTCTTATGAATGTTAGAGGTGATTTGTCATGTGACTATGATAATTGGATGGTTGTACGGTGAAAAAATACATTGTATCATCATCCTGGTGGTTGCATAATATCTCACAAATGTTGACTATTCTTGTGTGTAAAGTGCTGTTGTTGTGGCTGACCCCTCAATGGGTTTTCAAAGCAAGTGAGAAGCAGAAGTGGTCTGCCATTGCCTTCCTCTGCAGAGTCTTCCTTGGTGGTCCCTCATCCAAGTACTGACCCTGCTTAGCTTCCAAGATCTGATTAGATCAGGCTATACCATGTAGCCTTCTCTCTGATGACTGTATTCGTAGTGCTAACCGATTCCTCTGTAGTTCAGATACTTTATTGTTTAATTTGTTTCTCAGGAAATTGGCCACGAGAGGAATGCTGTCAGGAGTGTACAAGATTTGGAGCTGATATGAGAATATACAACAGTACATGTGATGGAGAATCAACCAGTTGTGTTACGAAACCAGGATGGCAAGAGAGCATCATGTGCAGTACCTGCTTTTCCCATCCTTGTGAAAGAGCCACTGGGCAGTGGAAGAGCTGATCAAAGCACCTTGCTTTCAAATCACAATAGCTTTGGTCTTGTGAGCAGTGCAATATCATCAGTAAATTCTAAAGTGAAGACTTGCCTTCCTGTGGATTGTACCTCTGGAGGCATTACTGTCACCTTGGACAACAATACCATGTGGAATGAGTTCTACCATCGCAATACAGAAATGATTCTCACTAAGCAGGGAAGGCGGATGTTCCCATATTGTCGATACTGGATCACAGGCCTGGAATCCAACCTGAAGTATATCCTGGTCATGGATATTTCTCCCGTTGACAACTACCGCTATAAATGGAATGGGCATAGTTGGGAGCCCAGTGGAAAAGCAGAACCTCACGTCTTGGGGCGAGTATTTATTCATCCGGAATCACCTTCCACAGGTCATTACTGGATGCATCAGCCAGTGTCTTTCTACAAACTCAAACTTACTAACAATGCCTTGGACCAGGAAGGGCACATCATCTTGCACTCCATGCACCGCTATCTACCTCGCCTACATTTGGTGCCTGCCGACAAAGCCACAGAAGTTATCCAGCTGAACGGTCCTGATGTCTGCACCTTCACCTTCCCACAGACAGAATTCTTTGCTGTGACAGCCTATCAAAACATTCAAATTACACAACTAAAAATAGACTATAATCCATTCGCAAAAGGTTTTCTGAAAGATGGACTGAGAAGTAGTTCCCAATGTGAGGCAAAGCAAAATGGTAGGTTAGAGTATGAAGTCTTTCCTAATAATGACAGATGCCCATGTTCTCCTGAAGCTGATATTTTGGATCCTGGACAGAGAGGCCTAAATGGTTTATACAACAACCAGAAGATGTGTAATACTGATTTGGAAAGAGAGTCATTCAATTCAGACATCAATGAGCCTGATGAACCAGAATTAAAGCAGGAGACATCTGAATTGTAAGATCATATCTGTATATTTTTGGTGATGGTTGGGTTACAGTGAGCTTCGTTAGTTATTGCTGTGCAATACTTTGAAATACTGTGATGTTATAGCTTCTAAAGGAGAAATACCTGCATGTAGTTTTCTGCAACAAGAAATGGAACGTGGTTTTGACTTTGGAAACTATGTAAACTTTTCTAGCCCATATTCATGTTGTGCACTGCCCCCTTAGTTACTGCTTTTGTTTTCTCATATATGTTACATGAGTCTGTTTTTAAAATAAGTACTTACTTCATTTATGCCCAATGGAGATACAAAGAATCTTGCATTGTTCTTCGCTCCTTCCACAACAACCCTGTGAGGTAGGTGAGGTGGAGAGTGTGATTGGCTCATGTTACCTAGCAAGTTTCCTAGCAAGTTTCCATGGTAGCATGGGGAGTCAAATCTGGGTCTTATCACTACACCACACTCTTACCACTACACCACACTGGCTCCCATACATGTTCATTTCTTTATCATAGTAGTAGAAAGTTGAGCAAAAAGGCCATCTCAAACGGCAGTATCTTTCTGACCATCACATGTAAATGGGCAGTGGGTATTGTCATTTTCTCTATTTATGTGAGTTCTTTTAATGGCATCTACTTGGCTTCCGCTAGAGACAGAATAAGTACCTACCTGCTTCATTGTTTCCTTTATCTACTTGGCTTCCGCTAGAGACAGAATGAGTACCTACTTGCTTCATTGTTTCCTTTGCCAGGACTCAGGTATTTCTTCTGTTCCATGTGCTGATTTATTACACTATTATATGATAATACTTCTGAGTAAACATTAGTCCCATTGATTACACTGACACCTGCTTCCAAGTTAGTATGCTTTGGGCTACAGCATAGAAATAAATCCTGTTCCAACCAGTGGGACTGCAGTGCTATAATAAACTGAATTGAGGAATTAAAATTACTTCTGAGTAAACATGGTTATATAAGAGTCATCGTGGAAACAGACAGGATGATAGCAATTGCTTTATTCTGTTTTCAGGTTTTTTTAAATGTCAGTACATTGAAGTCTGATCATGTGTATGCTTAATCAAAAATAAACACCACTGAATTCAATGGCACATTACCAGTAGAAGTGCATAGAAAGATAGAATTGCCTGTAAGGCTACATTTACATGCATACCTACATGAGAGCTGGTCTCACTGAACTGAATTAAAGTTCCATGAAAATGATAATAGATGAGAATAATTATTCATTGCAAATAACATGTAAATATAAATGTTTGAGTTTATAGTGTCTGAAAACTTTATTGGTGTAGAAAAGTTTTATTATTGTTTCAGTTAATTAGTGTTCTCTTTTTCTTCAAGAAATTCTTCAAGATTATTGCAGGAAAAGATCATAAGGTAGGGATAGGGTCTGCTAAAACAATGGGCTTAGTTTTACAGACCATGAACTGAAGGAGTTCATGGAACAGATCTCTTCCCCCTGCGCTCTGCAGCCTCCTGCACCCTGGGAAAACAGCTACAAAGGTTGGGGAAGCCTCACGAATAGATTGGACTTAGGCAAGGGCTGCTGCCACAAGAAGGAATTGGCAGACGTTGTGCCCTCACCTCTTGCTACGGTTGTCAGTCTCCAAGTGGTTGGAGATTTCCCGCTGTTACACTTGATCTCCAGGTAACAGAGATCAGTTCCCCTGGAGAAAATGGTGCTTTGGAAAGGTAACTCTATGGCATTATATCCCATTGAAGTCCCTCCCCCCTCTAAAACTTGCCCTCTTGGGGCTCCCCCCCAAATCTTCAGGTATTTCCCAGTCAGGGCTGGCACCCTACCTCTTGAACAAACCTGTTTGCAGAAGAAATCATGCAGACCAAGTGTCCGTGTGTGATTTCTGTTGAACTCACCTTAAACAATAGCAATCTGTGCTGCATTCTGCTCTGTTTGGAAGAGAACAGGACAGAACAAGGTTCCTGACCTTCAGAGGCGCAAGAGGCTGCAGGAAGAAGGTAGTGAGATCTGTTTCATAAGCTCTTTCCATCCATGGCTTGTTGTGTTGAACCTAATATGTTGGTTGTACAGCCATTGCTTGGTATTTCTTTTCTACAAATGCAACATATGAATCTTTAGAGGGTAGAGAAACTACTAAGTATAATATTTATTATATAATTTTGATTTTTTTTCCCGTTAGTATAGTTTTTCTTAATTTTTTTTCTCCAGTCCAATAGCTAACCCTTGTGAAAGTGACTCTCACATGAAATCTCTGCTGATCTCAAGTGGGGACATCAATGTTTCCATTAAAGAGGAGCTGGTAGATGATTCTGATTATGTTTCAAATGTCAATATGGAAAGGATGCAGTTGAAACAGGAAGACATCAACAAAGAGACAGAAGATTTTTCCTGTAGTGATGATGATCCCATATTGGAGAAGCAGTTGAAGAAACATAGTGAAATGGGAGAATCCCACAAGCGATCACACAATAGCCCATTGGGTGTTGCCAAAACAAAAATGCTAAAATTGGACAATAGAACAATGTCTGCAGCTTCTATAGAGGCCTATGAGGTCACCAAGAGTATGGTAAAGATCTCTGCTCTTCAGTCCATTTTGTCTTCTTGTCGGACAGATAAATCCCTTTTGAAACATTCAGAACATTTATTTCCTGCTGGTTTTGAAAACATCGCTAGTCCAATTAAAGCTGTAGGGACAAAAATTAAAAACTTTTTTTCTGGAAACAATGAAGAACAGAAATATTGTTTAGTCAAAGATGTGCCATGGGAAAACATTCAAATACATAACAGCCATTCCATAAAGCAAAAACCATTGAACCTCAAATGCACAAACTCAGCAGCAGCCATAAATAATGTTGGAGGAAAAAAGCCAAATACAGCGAAGAAACCTGTGTTGAGTACTGATGTTAATAGTAATCCAAGTGCTGTGTTATCAGGACCATGTAGGAGAGGAAGACCTCAGAAGCTGAAGTCAGAGGTTGAACAACCCCTGAAATACATCAGAAAGGCTATTATGAAGAACCGTTGTGCCCCTTTGAGATCATGTTCTGACCACCCAGAGTTTATACTTGATCATGAGGATGTGGATGGAGTCCTGTTTGTATCCTTTGAATCAAAGGTAAATCTATGGGTCTTAATTTAGTATTCTGAAACACAACAGTTACTATAGATTTCAGGTGGGTAGCCATGTTGGTCTGAAGCAGTAGAACATTTCATTCTGATGCATGCACATGAAAGCTTATACCCAGAATTAAACGTTGGTCTTAAGGGTGCCACTGGACTCAAACTTTGTTCTACAACAGTTAATAGTTCCTTCTCAGTCTTAGCTATGAAATGTGAGATTTTGGAAAAGGGGTTCCCCCATGCTTAAAATTGAACGTTGTGGCTTATTTTTATTAAACCCACTAGCTTTGAGTTTTGTAATTTGGATCTTGAATGGTATATATGATAATGCAAAATTGTATTATCCAGACCAGTCTATTTCAGTTGGTTTATATTGTCATATGTTACTTACATGACTTTTGGAAGATTGTCTCTCTTGTGAGCCTGGAATACTGTTTCATGTAAGACATTTGATATTTATTTTGTCCCTGTTTATATATAGGAAGATCTCAATAATCACACCATTGATCAGTCTGGGAGAACAGGAGAACCACTGAATGAACAGACTGTTTTACAAATTACATGTGATTCAGGTACTGACTTAGCATGAAGTAATTGTAATTTATTTCCTGCTATTTAGAAAAATATTTAGAATAATGCTAAAATGGTATATTCACATCATAACCACTGAATGTGAATTTTTTCTTCTGGCCGGCTGTCAAGAGAAGCCAAATCTGCTCGAAATAAAGCTCTTAGAAGATTTGAAGTCCTTCAGGCATAAACAAGTGATACATCCCAGTCTTCAAGAAGGTATTTACAGATATTCAGACCTTAGATCTCATGAAAGATAAGTAGAACATATTGAATTTGCATTGGCAAAAACTGTTGCTAAAGTGATACAGATACAGTTTTATGGTTGAAATTATATGTGCAGATCCATTATCCAGGAAAAAAATATTCAGGAAGAAGCTCTCTTTTCTTGCATTTATACTATGGAAACTGTTTAGCTGTACTTTTATTTGACATAGTACTGTGAATAATGCACAGGTTTATTGCCCACCATCCTGTGGATTGGATTCAGTGATCTGCTAGCAGGAGGACCTGGAGGCTACAGATCTTTCCTCTGGTCCCCGTTCCCTCAGCAGTCCACAGGAAAATTGATTCATGGCGTCTTGGGACTCACATGTACTGATAACCATGTGGACAGAGGGCTGCATTGAGAAGGGGACAAAATTGCTTCATCTCCCATCACTGAGCTGTGCTCATAGAAGCAGGAAGCAGTTTCATCCCTTTCCCCTCAAGGTAGTCTCCTGACCAAAGTGCCCTGTTGTCCACTCAGGTTCCATGAGCTCAGGAATCAGTTTTCCCAGGGGGCCCTGAGGAGATTGCTGAAGCGGAGGGGAACACAGCACGGAAACATGCTTCTTGCAGTGGTGGTTCTTTAGATCCAATCCGTTTCATGGAGTCCTATATTTGTTTTTGAGGAGGTTGGTTATCCACATAATTGAATTTGAGCTGTAAAGATACTTGAGGTGGTATTTTCTTCTTCCAGTGGGACTGAAGCTGGGTTCTGTGGACCCAGCAGTTAGCATTGACCTAAAATATTTGGGTGTACAGCTTCCTCTGAGATCTTCAAAGGATCGTGTATTTGGTAACAACCAAGGAATAAGACCCAGTTCTTTAGGTAAATGGGTTTTAAAATCCATAAAGTGTTAGAATATTAGTAGGCAAGAAAAGCTTGAATGTTCTAATATTAATAAAATCTTATTCTTTTTTCTAGAAGAACATTTTGTTAATCTTGCTACCTAATGAAAATAATTTCTAGTAAAGGCAGTTGCTATCTGTAAGTCTGGTAAATAGTTTTCTGTTAAAAATCTCTTTTGTCTTTTCATTTGGTCTCTGGTTAGTAGGGTTGCCAAGTCCCCCCAGGGGGTGGGGAAACCCCCGCCCAAGAGGCCCGTCCCCGCTGGCGCAGATCGGGCCACCTGGGGAGACCCCACCCACAAAGTGTTAAATGTGCCTGGCATGAACACGTCACCTGGAGGTGACGTAATCGCGTTGGACACGTTGTGGGGGGACGCTCTGTCATCCGAGGGAAAACTCTATGGTTTTCCCTCGAATGATTGTGGCCCTGCCCCCAACGTGCCCGATGTGATTACTTCACTTCTGGGTGACGTAATTGCAGCGCGTGTGCTTTGCTCGCACACCAGGAAAATTCAAAGGGACGTCCGGGACTCCCCCCGCTATTCCCGAGGTAGGACTTGGCAACCCTACTGGTTAGTAAGATAACTTTGCTGTCTTTACTTCTAGATGCTAGCCTTTCCTTCATTTCCAGGACTGGGAAAACAGATGATTTTAGAAAGATAAAAGGATGGCAGGAAAAAGTCCACAATACTTCTAGGCATGAAGGTAAGAAGTAGATTCTGTATGGTATGGTGATTCTACAAACAGAAAAACTTAATTTTTTCTCAGTGAGAACAAAGTAAATAAATAATAACCCTACACTTTCCTAACAATCAGTTTTCTGTTGTTTTCGTTTTTATGAGGAACTGAAGATTTGATTGATACTGAAATATTTTTGTTTATGCAGTACAAACACATTTATATATAACACCAGTTCCCATGATTTCATCACATTTGATTGTGACCCCCCCAAACCAGCACTTCTGTGGGACTGAGTAAATGGTTCTGTTTGAGTTCTTAGCATTAAATTTAGCAGACAGCAGCTGTCAAGACTGTTGAGAGATAGGCAAAAACTGTCATCCCCAAGAAAGTGGAGTGGCTAGAGGTGGGAGTATGTTTTGCTTGTGAATAATTGATGCTGACTATTTTATTCTGTTTGTAGCAACAATCGTTTTTGCTTCCCTGTGTTCCTAGAAGAACATCAAGCTTCAAATCCTAACCATTTTTCCATTGATGGAAGGCACTTAGAAAGAAGGGGTGGTTTTTGCTAATTTCCCTTCTCCTACTGCAGGAGCGCCCCACTTCATCCACACATGTCCACACTTCTTCCAGATGTTCACCAGTCCCTGGGGCATGACAGTCTGCAGCCAAATAGTGTAGACAAGAACTTTTGTTACTTCAGATGTTGATCTGCTCATCCTAGATAACATCTAAGTCCAAGGTTTTTTCTTTACTTTTGAGAAATGTCTTTATGTGGCCCTTTAACAAAATAGAACAAAAAGGGAAATACATCAGGTGATAGTTGACTTATTATTGTACAAAGTTCCTATGTGTTTCACCATGCAGGCTTTGTCAGGGGGAATCTATAAAAACATAATTTTATACTTAATACAAATAATAAAAGGACCCCTTAATAAAAATTATTACAAAAGTATTTTAAAAGTATTGATTAAAAAGACATGATCAGAATTAATTTCAAAATTTGATACATATTAGTCAGTATACCATATAAGATGAATAAATTATACATTGGAAATGAAACAAGACAATAAAATATATAATATATGAAGCAAATGCGGACCAAAGCATTCAACTAGTGCTGGAATTGTCCACAGCAATTAAGTTCTTTTACTAGTGAAGACTGACATAGTGTTTTTTTTAATGTATAGAGATTAGCTGAACATGGCCAGAAGTTCCAGATCAGAATTTAACCCATGAGGGGTCAAAGTCTACAATCTTAAGATCCACTCCATCTCCTTTTTTAATAGGGCTTTTTCATTGTGATGGTAAGATTTATATAAATCCCCAAAAATGAAATCAGTGGGTCCATGTTCTTTTTCCATAAAATGCTATACCAAAGGTGCACCAACTGTTCTGCGAAGTATGTTGTTCTCAAATACTGTTATATGAGTTTTAATTTTCTAGAGGTCTTCCCTATGTATAATTAAAAGAACATCTGATGACATATATAATCATATTTGAGTTGCATGTTGTGAAGTTGTTTAAAACATATTTTTTGTCAAAGGGTTGATAAAACACTTCATATTTTGAGTTAGGTTACAACAAATGTCCACATCTAAGATGGCCTTGGTCAAACCTGCTTCTGGAATGGTTCTTTGTAGGTTCATGGGAACAAAGATGTTGCTTTAAAAAAAATAAAATAGGGATGTATTGTCAATGGTCTCATTTACGCAGATTTTTCAGGGAAACTATTTTGTGTTTCCTTTGAAGCCAAGGTTAGATTCCACATGCTTTTAGGTGTTTGGGATTTAACATCTTTCTGTGTAACGTTCTGTGGTTTATTCAGGTACCATTCTGGAGGGCTCCTTGAAGAACCGATCTGCCTTCTGCAGTGATACACTCGATGAATATTTAGAAAATGAAGGGAAACTAATGCAAACAAGTATGGGATTTCCTCCTAACTTCTCCAGTTGTCCTGTGGTTCACCAGTTTTCATCTGAAAGCAGCAACTATGTACAAGCGCAACACAGCATTCTAAAGAAAAAATGCACTCCACCCACCTCTTACAATTTTAAGCCACTATCTCTGCCTTCCTTTAGAAAGAGAAGAAGAAACATTAATAGGAAAAAAGTGTCTTCTAGAGGCAGCATAAAATCCAGTAATTCTGCAGTGGCTTCACTTGCTTTGTCAAAGGAGCAATACCACATCCAAGTCTTGGAAGACAGAGTTACTAATCCTCAGCCAAACAGCGAAACAGATAATACAGTAAATGTTCTTATGACGCCAGACTTAGATGAAGATGTGCAGGGAAAACAGGGAACTGTTTGTTGGTCAACATGGAACAGTAACATATGTACAACTGATACAAAACTGATGGATCTGGAGGGTTGTGCGTTACAGGATGGGAAGCCACAAACTTATATTACTGAAGAACGTGCGGACTTTTCTCTGAGAACTCTGTTCATTTCACAGGTAAGCTACAGTGCCAGTTGTCCATCACCCAGTGATTGTTTACGGTTAGATGTGCATGTGCTAAAAATGGGGCATGTGTATCTATAGCTATTTTTCTTCTCTAGTCTTTTTGTCTGTCAAATGTGCCCAGTTAGGTTTTGCATGACAACCACATCTTCTACCTGATAGTTCTTTTACACACACACAAAATCATAATAACTTGTTTCAAGCCCTCTATTTTGTAGAATGAATTGGCAGTAGTAGTGTCCATAGTAATGTACACCCTGTAATTTCCTGGATCAGCCCAAAGTATTTTATTTCAAAAGGACTTTGTGCGCTATTTATTTATTTATTTTCTTCACTTATACCTAGCCTTTTTCCCCAACGGAGATTTGGACCTGAGTCTCCCAGATACTAGTTTGGCACTGCATATGAATAAAACATTGCCGTTCCTCATACTTATTCAGCACAGACTTTCCTCTTACTCAGAGGTATGCTTAATCTGCATTGATGAAATACATAATTTCTTAGATTGTTATATACATATGGTTGTATCAAAGGCCAGAGTTTCTGTCCATTCTTCCTTTTAATTATGATTCTTAGTTCCAAATAAAGCTATTGCAGTGTCTAATCATACCCGAGTGGGTTCAAGTGAAGTTGATGGGTTTGGAGGATAGTGCATCACGGCAGGGGAACACACAGACTTACGTTTCAGAAGAGCAAGCAGACGATTCCCTGTCAACTTTCAGGGCCATTGAGGGTGGGGAGGTCAGCTGTTGTGCTCCTGAAGCCAGGATTTCATGCAGAATACATTTTATTTTAATGCAGTTCTGGCTGCAGTGACTAGCATTGCAGAAAAGTCAGAGCACAGTAAAACCACTATGTCAGCTGTCCTGCCTTTTAGCAAGGCTGAAAAGTAAACCCTCGCCTAACAGGATCATGCGTAGCCTGTCAACCAAGCCAGCATTGGAGGAAGGCAAGACAAGCCACCACAGCTGATGTCTGCTACAGTAATTGCCAGGCTGCAGCCTGCTAACAAGGTTGTTGTCTTCAGTGGTCTGTTCTTTCCTTCTTCCTTTCCTTGTACCCAGCTCCATAGTTTTGTCTACCCAAAGCAGCAGTTAGTGTATTGTAGCAAGATAAAACAACCTTTCCTTCTCTTTTCCTTAATAATTTTGAACCCTGTATGTTCAAAGACATGAGCAAAAAAAAACTTCTGACAACTTTATTTGAAATCACTATTTATAAAAATAGAGATGTAATTTGGGTAAAGTGAGTAAAGAGAAGTCGGTAGATGACAATGTGATAGTGTAGGTAGCGTAAGTCTGTCAGTTGAGTTCAGGCTGGGTAATATCTCCCATTTGCTTAATGGACAGAGCCATGCAAATGAACTGAGTCTTTGTCCCTGCCACCAAGAAGAAAGTCCTCCCAGTTATAGCCCTGTCTGTGCTGCAGCTTGACACCCTAAGATTCTCTCCTCTACCTAATAGATACATTTCATGTTTTCATACTAAAGTTCTTTCCCTCCTTTTGGTCCTCTGTTTTCCTTGGTCAGACTTATGGCGACCCTGTAGGATTTTCAAGGCAAGCTGACTGACAGGAAAGAATTATCTTCCACGACAAATTGGCCCCAGCTGCATGCATGATTAGAACAGGAGACTCCCCCTAGGCATTGGTCCCATGTTGTGGACCTAGGAACTCAAGGGAATTATTTTGCAGATAAGCCTTTCATACAAGCCTCCTCCTAAAGCCCTTGCAGCTCCAAACAGGAAAATTGACCAGATGGATGAAGCATAGCAGAACAGGGTTGAGAAGCAGAGGAGCCAACCAAGAGGCTGGGGTAATAGGTGGAAATCCCAAACCAGCTACAAAAGTTTGGGGGACTGAGATGTGGCTTTTATGCACCTGTAGTTGCATTGAGAAAGGGGGCAGTGTCTCTGCTTGACAGAATTGGGTTCCATCTAGAAAATTTGAATCTGATTGGAAGGTTCGAACTTTAGGGGCATGGGAAACATGGAAACATAGAGCTAGAAGGGACTGCAGGAGTCATCTAGTCCAAACTCCTGCACAATGTAGGAAAATCACACCTAACTCCCATCTTCCTCCCCGTGACCCCGCTGTACACGCAGAGGAAGGCAAAAAACCTCCAGGATCCCTGGGTCAATTTGTTGTGGAGGATAATTCCCTCCTGACTGGAGGAAAAAAGAACTCCGAATAGGGGCATGATTCTGTCAACGTGGGGTGATTAGTTTGGTGGTGGTGGAAACTGCTATCAAGTGACAGCTGACTTATGGCGACCCTGTAGGATTTTCAAGACAAGAGACGTTCCAAGGTGACTACATTGCCTGCCTCCATGTCACGACCGTGGTATTCCTTGGAGATCTCCTATCCAAATACTAGCTAGGGCCCACCCTGCTTAGCTACCAAGATCTGATGAGACTGGGTGATTAGTTTACCTGCCCAACAGTTTGGCTTAGCTTAACAAAGGACTGGGCAGTGTTTGACGGCCTTTGACAAAGGCCAGGAGATGGCTGATGGGCGAGTTTGAAAAGAAATATTTTGTCCACATTGTGGAGGGGAGTTTTCCTTTAATTGCAATGCTTGTGATAAGTGCCATCGAGTCGCTTCTGACTTATGCACTAATGTCCTTCAGAATGTCATATTGTTAACAGCCTTGCGGCAGGTCTTGCAAACTGAAGGCTGTGGCTTCCTTTATTGAGTCAAGCCATCTCATGTTGAGCCTCTTTTCCTGCTGCCTTCAGCTTTTCCTAGTGTTATTGTTTTTCCGGGGGCTCTTGTCTTCTCATAATGTGACCAAAGTGCAATAGCCTAGTTTAGTCATTCTAGCTTCTAGGGAGAGTCCAGACTTGCTTTGATCGAGAAACCTACTGATTTTTCTTTCTGGCAGTCCACTCTTCTCCAATGCTACAATTCAAATGAATCAACTTTCTTCCTGTCAGCTTTCTTCATTGTCCAGCTTTCACACCCATACATAGTAATGGGAAATACTGTGGCATGAATTAACTTGCTCTTGGTCACCAGCACACATTCTTACATTTAAGAATCTTTTCCCATCTCCTTTATGGATGCCCTTGCCAGTTTCATTCTCCTTCTGATCCCTTGATTGCGGTCTCCCTTTTGATTGATGATGGAGCCAAGGCATAGAAAATCTTGAACAATTTCAGTTTCTTCATCAGTCTTAAAGTTGTTTCATTCCCCAGTAGTCATTACTTTTGTCTTTTTGATGTTCAGCTACAATCCTGCTTTGCCACTTTCTGCTTTAACTTTCAGCAGTAGTCGTTTCAAGTCCACTATTTTCTGCAAGTAATGTGGTGTTATCTGCATATCTCCAACTGTTAATGTTCCTCCCCCCAATTCTCACCTTCCTCTAAATCTAATCCACTTTTCCTTATGACATGTTCTGCATATAGATTGAAGAGACAGGGAAATAAAATGCATCCTTGTCGAACACCTTTGCCAAATGGAAACCATTCTGTTTCTCCATATTTTGTCCCAACAGTGGTCTCTTGTCCAGAGTACAGGTTGCACATCAAAATAGTCAGATACTGTGGCACACCCATTTCTTTTAAAACCAGCAGTATGGCTTTTCATGATCCACAGAGTCAAACGCTTTGCTGTAATCTATGCAACATGAGCTGATTTTCTTCTGAACTTCCTCTTTAGCAAAAGGAGTGAATTGTTTGTCATTTATATGCCCTCTAATATCTCTGAGAATCTCAGCATGGAGGATCCTACCTCAGAGTTTAGATTCTGGAGAAAATCTAAGTGAATGGTGGGATTTCCACCAGTGTAGCGGGACTTCCTCACCTCTCCCCTCCCACTGTAGCTCCAGGTGCTCCCCTAAATGTTGTTCAAGGGGCCTTAGGAATGGGGAGGGGGGGAGATGTCAAAGTAGAAGGAAAATCAGCAAAAAAATTCCTACCCCTTTCCATTAGCAGAAATTCTACTCTGTGTCCAAGTTTTATTGCCTTTAGGTTAGATTTTCATCATAATTCTTTGTTGACTTTTATTAAGATGGCTGTCAAGAGAACAAAATAAAGAGGTTTAGGTTGGGGTGCACTAAAGTGCTCTCTACCCTTTTGTATGCTGCTGTTTCATCTTGTAGTGCACAAGCTGAGCCTCAACCACAGCACAAGTGGGGACAGTAAATTCTCTTTGGGATGAAGCAATGAGCTCTTTTTATCTTGTCTGGGAGAAAAGGTATAATGTCTCCTAGATGTGCTGCAACAGAAGTTGACTCAGAAGATTAACAAGAAAGGATGAGATTTACATTTTGTTTTATGTTTAAATTCAGCACATAGTCTGGCTAGCTAGACTGCTGGTGGAATTGTGTGCAGCCCTCTTTAGTACTTCTGAGTTAGTGCTGATTTTTCAGGATGGTTGAGTTATCAAGTATTTTGTATTCACTTACAGAATACTCTGGAGTTTTTACTAGGCAGGGTATTTTATTTTGTAAGAAACATTCTTGCTTCTATTTGCTAATAATAACGCAAGTCAGGTAACAGCAGCCAGCCTTCAGGTCTGTCTTAAGATACAGAAAAATGCATGGGACCTTGGCTGCTGTTCTTCCACTCAGTCAAGGTTCTCCTGCAGTTATATGGCAGGAAATAGCGATTACCTCTTTTCTTGCAGGATCTGGTATTTATTTATTTTACTTTATTTATACCCCACAGGGGATTTAGGGCAGCTTACAACATTTAAAAATACATTTAGAAATACAATAAATACAAATAAAATCAATAAATACAATAATAAAACCAATTAAAATAATAAAACAACAAATTACATGGAGAATTAAAACAACTGGCTATCTCCCTGGTTCTCATAATATTAGCCAAAAGCTGTACAAAACAACGCAGCTTTACATACCCTACAGAATGCTGAAAGATCCCACAGGGCATGAACTGCCCTGGGGAGCTGATTCCAGAGAGGGGGCAACCACTGAAAATGCCCTTGCCCCGATGGTTGACAAGCAGGCAATTTGCGGGCCAGGCACCCATAGAAAGTCCTGCAATGGTAATCTAAGGAGGCGGGGGGGGGGGTCATACTGGGAGAGGTGTTCCAGGGCAGTACCAGACCATTTAGGACTTTATAGGTCAAAACCAACACTTTAATTGGCACCAGATGTTAACCGGGAGCCAGTGCAAGTGCCAAATGATTGATGTTATACTTGCAGGCCAGGGAGACTGAGTTAGCAGTCTAGCAGCAGCATTCTGGACCATCTGAACCTTCCAAAGCATCTTCAAAGGCAGTTCTAAGTAGAGGATGTTGTAACAGTCTAATATGGAGGTGACCATTGTGTGGATCACAGAGGCAAGGTCAGAGTGGGACACACAGGGAAGCCAGCTGGCAGGCTTGGTGTAGATGATAAAATGCTGTCTTAGCCAACCTGTTCGTCCAGGGTAAGGGAAGAATCAAGCCACACCCCTAAACTCTTAATGGAGTCCACTGCAGAGAGCTGGACCCATCAAGTGCAGCTAAGGCCAGCCACCCCAGGCACCAGACCTACTGGACCACATGATCTCCATTTTTGAAGGATTTAGCCTCAGCCAGCTCTTATCTAACCAATCCACTATGGTGGCCAGTCATGAGGCCAGGGCTAAGATCCCAGCAGCCAGCTGCTTTTCAAGCAGGAGGTAGAGCTGGGTGTCATACTCATGTTGGTGGCGCACAATTCCAAACCTGATGATTTCCGCCAGAGGGTGCATATAGAGGATCAACCTGTGCAGGACTCTACAGGTTAGGGCCTGGGGGGCCAGTCCCTGTCCACCAATGGCTACTCTCTGTGAGCATCCCTAGAGGGTATGGTAGGAATGTCTGTGCTTTTAAGGACAACTGTATTGTTACCCAAACTGCCTATCTCCTTTTAAATGGGGGAATTAGCAGGGAGACAGCATTAGCAAAATGGGTGTAACAGACGGGATCCTACACTTATGTATGCCAGGGTCAGTTTCAAAGAGAGAAATTCTCAAATAATAGGGACTGTGTTGGAGGAAGATTGTTTTATTGAAAAATGTTTATTATTAAATGTAAAGCATATGCACAAAGCAATCAAATAACACACGCAAACAAGGCTACAGCAAAAAGGAGGAGCTTGTAGAGACATAAAGGGAGTTTTGAGGTGATAGTTACCATCCAGATGTGCAGAAGTCCAATGGAAGAAGATTGTGAACGACCAGCATATCATGAACAAAGGGACCCAAACTCTGCTACTTTACTAGGCACCCAAACTTTAAACAAAAGGTGTGATGGCACCCTTGTGGGTATATCCTGGAGAATGTGTGTAGAATTGATGGCAGACATTATCTAATATTTCAGAGTTAATAGCTTTTGGTAACCTGGGATAATAGCTCAGGAAGAGGGCCATAAATCTGTTTCCCAGAGAAATATTCACATTTAAAAGGAAGTATTACCCAGGAAGGTAGCCATAAAAGACAGATGTAGGTATGCTCCAGAGAAATGTTAATCTGTATGAGAGAGAGACAAAAGGAGCTTTTCAGAGGTAGGAGATCTCCATATAGGAGACATGCTGGAATGCTGAGAACATTGATACTTACCTGGGAGGGGGGAGAGGCAGATTGTACATAGACAAGACACATGTTCTGTTTCCACAGCCTCCAGGGCCCATGCTTTAGGCAAGCTCCTGTGTGTGTGTGTTTTTCCCCTTTTTAGGACTGTCACAGACTCAGGAGCAGTGCTTTGGGGAACCCTGGGATGGTTTCAGTGTGAGGGTGCTTGTGACAGGCTGCCCTCTGATCCATGGTATGACAGTGGGTTGACAGTATACCATTCCAGTCCAAATCGTATACTCCCTGTTCCAGAGCTGTCATCACCGATGGTTCAGTCCAAGACTTTGTCAGCTATTTCAGTTACTCAGGCAACATTCTTTTTTCATCCAGATCTTAATCATGTGATAGAATCTGACAATTTGTCACCACAGTTATCTCCTGCAGGAATGAAAAGTATTGCACCTGATTCTAAAACTGCATGCTACTCCAATCAGCACCCAAGTAGGTAGTACTGATAGTTTAGTACAGCTTCAGATCTGGCAGTTTTGCTTTGCTTCAGCTTCTAAGACAAAATGATATTTTACATTTTATTTTTCAGCATGTTTTACCCTTCAAATTTACAAGTGATTCAGTGAATGCAAATCAAAAAAAGCAGCCAGATAGTTTTGAAGACAGAGAGCCATTGCAATTATATTTGACAAAAGTGCAGTTCCCTCAAAGACAGTTCTGAAACACACATGTACAGGAAAAGAATTGTCAAATGAGGCACCATTCATATAATCTGACATTTCTACAGATGTTATATCATCAGATCATTTATATATTAGCAGGAAACCAAGTACTGAAGGAAGGGCATGCCAAATATCTTGGAGGCATGTCAGATGAGATTTGTGAAGGTTGTAGGCAAACTACAGGTCTTGCATATAATATATTACAGAGAAATTCCATAAATCTGGAAGAAAGTGGATAGTTTAAAAGATCCAGTGAAAGGCATGCAGGCATTGCTCAAACACAGAGGCCTGCTACTGGGTCAGAAGCATATAAACAGACAGTTCACATCAGAAGAAATGGTCATCATTGAATGTAGAGAGGGACCAGATCCCATCAGTGGGAAAACAAAAATGATTTTTCACTATCCAAAAAGCACTCGAAGGAGGAAAGAATTGACTGTATGAAAACAGAAAGAGATGAGGAAGAAAAAAGGAACCCTGGGGTCAGCTTTGCAAAAGAGCAGAATACCATACCAGGAAAGAAATACAGAAAGAATGCTCAAGAAGTTTCACCTAAAAGGAATACTGATTTTCAGGGTGGCATCAAACTATTAAAATCAACAAAACCTCTAGTTGGTCAGTTGCTAAATGGTTAGAACAGAATATACCCAAAATCAACCACCACAAGGAAGGTTTATGGCTATTATTGATACTACCATGAGAAATACAGAACATGATGGGGGGGGAATTATGTTTTTGTAGAGGGAATGATTGATAAGAGTATCGGGTTACCAAACTGAAAATATATTGCACACTGAACTGGTGAGCATTGAGCTCTTTTAAAATGAAAAATTTATGACAGCGAATTGTTTTAGCTATAATCCAGTTGACTATATAGGATTGTGGGAGCCACTGTGACCAGTTGAGATCCCTGTTGCCACTTGCCTGAGAGCCAGGAATCTGAGTCCATGACAGGCAGATGTACAGTGGAAGAATCACACCAGGTGACAAAGATGCTCTACTGGGATCTCTTCCCAGTCTCTTTCACTGTCCAAACTGGCCATTTACTTCTCTCACAGAGGGTACTGGTTACAAATATCCTATTGTTGATTGTTAAATTTCCTCAGCAGTTAGAATGTTTGTAATTATTCCATGAAGCCACATGAACACATGGAGCTGCCTTATACTGAATCAGACCATTGGTCCCTCAAGGTCATTATTGTTTACTCAGACTGGCAGCCACTCTCCAGGGTCCCAGGTCTTTCATATCACTTACTAACTGGTCTTTTTCACTGGAGATGCTGGGAATTGATCCTGGGATCTTTTGCATGTCAAGCAGGTGTTCTACCACTGAGTGACAGCCACTCTGTAAGAGGCTAATCCTTAGCCAAAAATGGTGGTGTTTGGAGTCCTGACAAATGTGAATAGTCAACTTATCATAATACAATATAAATAAAAATATACACAGAGGAAAACAAATCCCAGGTATCTGTTTTTGGATTGGTGAAATGTGCAGCTAACCTCCAAGAATTTGAAAATGTTTTATATCTCTTTGTATTCCTAGAAGTTAAAATCTAGTGCTAGCTCCAAAAGAATTGAGGCTATCAAAAAGGTTCACCTTCAAAAGTAGTACAACTCAAACAGAATCAGATTCCAAAACATAGGGTACCCAAATCTTGATCTAATCTAATACTTTTTCAGTTTCCAGGGCAGAAGAGTGCTACAAGTTCCCGCATTCAACATTCTGCATCTCCAGTGGAACAGAATGTGACAGAGAAAGTTGAGTTCGGTACTATCCATCTAGAAGAAAAGAAGTCACACAAACAGGAGACAGAGACAGTGGAATTGCAGATCACAATGTCTGATAGTAAACCAGAAGAATTGTTAATAACTCAACCACAGTCCCATGTAGAAGGGATCATGTATGACAGAGATGCTGTTACTTCATGGGTAGCAGGGAAGAATACAGAAATGGTGAAACAGTTATCAAGTGCTGTTTCTGTCTTCCAACTTGAGACTGTTTTACTAGATCACTCCTATTTCATCAAAGGAACAGCTGAGCTGCTACAGAATATTAAACTTTCTGAAGACACATCAGATGATATTTTTCAAATCGTAAGCCCAAAGGAGCTCTAAGCAATTTGACATTTTTAAGTAGTATTTTTGATATACATCTGTTATGTACCATGTAGTGCTTGGATCGCATAGTAGATTTCTGCTAATGGAGAGGAAGACCTCTGTGTTCTGTCCCCTATGAGCTGCAGTGTTTGTGGGTGGGGAGGAAGTAACATGCCATTGACAGAAATGCCTTCCACTAGCAGACATTTACAGTGGGATCCAAGCCTGAGTGACAACTGATCCACATTGACTTCAGTTTACTAGTCTAATTTATGCGAAGGATTGCAACCTGGGAAATTTTTGCAGTTATGAGGAGAGAGTCCAAAGAAGCAGTATGTGCATATGTAGGAGAACCGTACACACAGCCACAGATTCCTTGGAAACTTGCTCCCAGGAGCTAAAAACAGTTTTATAAATAGAACAGCAGTTTGGCTGTTCAGTACTAGAAACTGTAATGTGGAAGTGGTGCATGGTTCTTTCCTCTGCTCACATCTAAAGCTTGAATTCACAAAGCTACCTTATGCTCCGTCAGACTATTGATCCAGGTTTATCTAGCCCAGTAGTCTCCATTCTGACTGGCAGCAGCTCTCCAGACTCTTAAGCAAAGCTCTTTCCCAGCTCTGCTACTTAAGTTCCTTTCACTGGCCCTCCCTCAGTGGATTCCAATGAACGATACAGTCGAAGATGAGTAATGCATACTTCAGGCACATAGATTACCCTGGCTGCAAGCAGCCATGGTACTTTCTTGGCTATTAGTTCACCTGCAGCTGCATGGATAAATGTTGATGTGACTCAGTCTGTACATGATACAGCTTCAGTTCTCCCAGTTATTGCTGTGCCTGAGAAAGAGTCTTCCATTATCATGGGACTTGCTTTCATTTGTATCCCTCTACAGTAAGATGCACATAAACACAACACTGTACAACGTGGACATCTCTGTCAGTTGTAAATGTTGTCAGCTATTGCTCTGAAATGTTGCACTGAAGGATTATGTTTCATGACTATATGTCAAGATTTTCAGGTCTTGTGTCATTTAGAAATAGATAATATTGCTGTGTTGGTTCCAAAAGCTGTGTCATCTTTACAGTTCAGTATACACAGTGGATTGAAATTGTTGCTCAAACATTGGTGATTTATGTATTGAAATGAAACACATCATCTTACTGGGGTTTCTCTGCAGGACCACATAACTTTTTGTCTGTGTTTAATACTTTGATTCAGGATAACAGTGAATCCAATGAAGGTAACAAAAATGTGGACATCAGATCTGTGGAGAAGGAGTTTTTAAAGAAAACGAATAACTTGGATATTGAGACAGCAGCTGCCCATGCCTTACCATCCAGACAACTGTAAGCACATGCCTTTGTTACATCTGTGTGTGTTTTAAACTAGGAATTGGATTTTCCTTACGGGGCTGATTTTACCATACCTGGCAGATTTAGTTTATACACTTCAAGGTTCCAGTTCTACAATATGTTTTGTCCATGCATCTCCGATGGAATAAGGACTGCTTTTGTTGAAGCTTAAACTATATTCTGAACCACATCATGGTGTCTGTCTAAGCTCTCCCTGCTTTTTTTCAACCTCTAGGAACTTGGTTCATGACCATTCAGATAAGGTGATCACACCGTCTCCTAAGGTATCTACCTTGTGTTTGTTCTCCTTTTGGCTTCTTTGTATTGAGTGTTGCCATCTGAAAAACACATTAATTGTTTTTGTGTTTGAGTTTTTTCAAGAACATAATTTATATCTGTCTCAGTATTAGTTAAGCACAAGAGGGGAACCCGCGATACTCACGGAGAGGGGGAGAAGAGCTC